AAAAAAATGAAGTCGAGTAGACATCAAAAGATGTTATTACTTTTTTAATAATTATCAAAAAACAAAAAGTTGTACATCGATAGGCAACAGAATTATTCAAAATAAATTCACAAACCATAAATCAATTCACATAAAAACTATTTGAATTCTGTAAAAAAACATAATGAAAAAATGATTAAAAGAAAATGTATTTATAAATGGATAAACAATGTGATACACATGAGTCAAAGCCGGTTCTGCTTGTTATTTGATGACCGCTAAATTTGAAAAAAAAGAACATACAAAATGATATATTAGAAGATTGTTAAATATACAACATGTCTACAATGGTGTGGGGAATTATAAAAACATTTTAAAACGAAATTGTTAATTTGTCAGGGTTGTATGAAAAAAGATGGTTATACTGAAATATTTAAAAATGAAATAATTGTTTAATCTAAATAAATCATGAAAAAATATACTTTATGAAAAATAGATATATATATGTATATGTATATACTTATATATGCAAAATAGATATTCTTATATATTAGAAAAACTTATAAAAATTATTTGAAAAATACAATGTCAAGGTAGTCGAAATTAACTACTATTTTTTATAATTGAATTTAATAAAGAATGTTTGAAAAATAATAAAGAAAAGCTTTATATCAACACTTCAAAAGTATATACAATGAGTTTTTGGGGGATTGATGTTTAAATTTAAAATTGTATTAAAAATAACGTTTTATAAAAATTCCAATAAAATTATATAAAAATAAAATTTAAAATTCTCTTAGCTTAATAATTTAATTATAGGTTGACGTTGAAACTGACATTTTTTTCTACCCAATTTCACAAATTTAAAAAGTGCTAAAACAGGGTATTTGCTGTGTTTAAAACAAGCTACATGAAAGGATTGTTGTGTCTTTATATATAGTTAAAACTTCTAATTGTGCAACTTTTTTAACTCTCAAATATTTTTTTTAGTTTTGGTCCACAGACTCTTTATTGTAATTTGTTATATTATATCGTCAACACATTTAACTCAAACTTAAAATATTTTTAGTTTGGTTTCAACCTCAAGTTTTTTTCAACTTTCATTTTCCATAAATTTCGCCCAAATCAATACCATACAACATTCTATTGCTTTTAAAATTGCTTCAACGGCGTTGGAATATATACTTATGTAAGTGTTACATTTTACATATATTTTGAGGTTTTTATTTTATCGGCCAAGTGTTTTTATGCTTTTATAAATCTTAACTAAAAAGTTTCAAGTTGGCTAGCTAACCATTTTAACTTAAGTATTTATATTGTCGAGACATTTTATATTTTGTTGTTTTTTACATGCAGTCATAAACAATAAAAAACAAAAATAATTTTAAGTAAAAACCACTTTATTTTTTTTATTATAAATAAATACATTTTTAAAACAACTTTATACCAATTAATAGAAAACAGACTTTATTTGAATTATGTTGTTTTTATAATAAAATTACAAAATTGTTTTTGTTATATTAATGACAGTAATATGTTGTAAAATGTTGTCATGGTCGCCAACATGGTTCTTTTAATCGTTTTATCAATAATAATTGTTAAAAAAAATCGGAAAATGGTTGAAAATAGAAAACTAAAAAATAACAATTTTTATATTTTATACAGAATATTCTTATTTTCAATTATCGCAAACCAAAAATATAAGGACAATGTTTTTTTGACTAACTCTACAAATTTAGGACGATAGTTCAAACTTGGATAATAATAACACAATTTGCATCAATTGTTTATTAAACTTTTTTATTTTAAATCGTTTTTTTAAATTATAAATTTTATTATTTTTTTATTATTTTAAAAAATTCCATTTATTAAATTATGGTTAGAGTCAGTCTTTTAACGTTATCTGGTGGACAAAAAAATAGCTTCATTTTTGTCTAAACATCGGGCATTAGGTAAAGAGTGAAAAAACCCGAAACAATTGGGATGGATTTTTGGGACTGCTCCCCAAATTATTCCATTTTTATGGTCCAAAAGGCACCAGATAACGTCAAAAGACAGACCGTAGTAATTTTTCAAAATTTTATCTTTAAACTTTTCATTTTAGCAACACAAATATAAATATCTTCAAATAACAAGTAATAGTTAGTGTTTGCGATGTTATATTTACATAATTATCATTATTTTTAAATTATTTATACTCAAAACCAACTACAAAATAAGAAATGTGCACAATTGGCAGTTACCATGTGATGATAGTTTCGAAGTATTTTAAAACTGTTGAAGACTTTATAAACTTGGAATTTGTATGCAAAAAGTTCAATGATAATATGGAAAAGTTTCACTACAACCCGATTCCTTTAACTTTCAAAACATTGAAATATTTTCCAAACATTGAGACACTTCATTTATGGAACAAAGATGATGACAATTTTGGTAATAAATTTAAAGAAAACATAGAAAACGATAAATTCGATGGAAATCATAAAGATGTTGAGATGGAAAAATACGTTGTTTCAACAAAAATGTTTTATCGAATTGTTGTGTGGTACATTGTTGATTATAAAACTGTTGTAATAACAACGA